AAAATAGCGAAGCTGGCCCAAACTCTTCATCTCAAAATGCTGACGAAGACAATCCTGCAAATCGGAAATACCGGTAATATCATCCCCCGTGATGATCATATCGTCAACATAGAGTAGCAAAATAATGATCCCGGAGGAGGAGCGCCGAAGAAATAAAGCAGAATCGTGATCACTCGTAGTGAAATCAAACTGAAACAATGCAGAACTGAACGTGGCATACCAAGCACGAGGCGCTTGTTTCAAGCCATACAAAGCTCGACGTAGACGACAAACTTTCCTAGATGACAATGATCCAGGAAGAGGAGTCATGTAAACCTCCTCAGACAAGGCACCGTGTAAGAAGGCATTCTTGACATCTAACTGTAGAAGAGACCATCGACGAACAGCAGCAACTGCAAGTAAACACCAGACAATAGTAAGACGAGCAACCGGTGCAAAGGTCTCTTCATAATCTATGCCATACTCCTGGGAGTAACCCTTAGCAACCAAACGAGCTTTGTAGCGCTCAATAGATCCATCTGAATTTGTCTTGATCTTATACACCCACTTACATCCGATGGGAGTCTTGTCAGCAGGTAAATCCACAAAATCCCAAGTATGAGTCTTTTCTAAGGCCTGTAATTCCTCAGTCATAGCTTTTTGCCACAATGGATCAACATTCGCCTCACGAAAAGACCGAGGCTCATGATGAGATAGAATGGCCGAATAACAATGATAGTCAAGTAAGTGAGAAGGGGGACGACTTACACGAGTCGACCATCGCTGATCAATAGCTGACAAAGGTACAGAATCAGAAGAGGGCTCAATACGAACTGTCGGTTCAGGATGCACAGGTGAAGCCACTTCAGAAGAAGGAGGCATGACAGGCGTGTCAATGAGCTGTGAGTCAGAACCTATATCTGTATCTGGAAAAAGATCTGAAGTAATAGACATGAATAAAGGAGACGCTGAATCAAACGGAATGTGGAACTTAGACAAGGAGGAAAAGGTAGTATGCTCCCAAAAGGTAACATGACGCGAAATACGCAACCGATTAGAAATCGGATCCCAACACCTAAATCCTTTGTGTTCTACCCCATAACCCAAAAAACAACACAGACGAGCTCAGGGTTCTAATTTGGTCCGCTCATGGGACGAAAGAAGGACAAAGCAAACACAACCAAAAGGACGTAACTGAGTATAATCAAGAGACTGACCGTACAACCTATCAAAAGGACTGACATCACTAATGACTGATGAGGGCAACCGTTTGATAGCATAAACAGCAGTCAAGGCTGCCTCACCCCAAAAACGATCAGGACACCGAGCAGAAAGAAGAAGAGCCCGGACAATATCAAGAATGTGACGGTGTTTACGTTCAGCTCGTCCATTTTGTTGGGAAGTATATGGACACTAACGCTGAACTAAGGTGCCCTGATCAGAAATAAATTTCAAAAAAGTAGAATCTTTGTACTCAAGAGCATTATCAGTACGCAAGACCTTTATAGGACAAGAAAATTGTGTAAGAATCATGTTAGTAAATTGAACATATATGCTGGACAACTCAGAACGATTTTTGAGAAAATAGATCCAGGTAAAACGAGAAAAAATCATCAACAAAAATAACAAAATACCGAAAACCACTCAGAGAAGCAACAGGAGAAGGACCCCAAATATCAGAATGTACCAAACCAAAAGGTTTATCAGCAGTTGACAAACTATCAGAAAAAGAAAGAGTCGGTTGTTTCCCAAGTTTGCAATGAAGACAATTAAAAGACTCAAAATGACCTGAACCCAAAAGACCCTTATTATATAAAGAACGAACTTTATTCGAAGACGCATGCCCAAGACAAAGATGCCACTGGAAACTAGACTTATTA